CAGTAGGTTTAGGTAGTGATTTGTTGGGGTCAATTTCATTTGGATTAGTACTGAGCCCGGAAAAACACCATTAGCGATCAATCTTCCGCTTTCAACTGGTATCAAAGCCTTGGTGTGAGATTTTCCGGCCAAAAATCTATCCAAAACTGTTTAAATAGAATTTTTCTCTTAAAAGGACCGAACCCGCAATCCTTGATTCCGACGAAACCATTCACCCGCCAAACAAATTGAGATCGACCCATACTCAACAAACAGTGGCGCTCCTTCCTAGGTGGTGTGTTGAGGCGGCGACAGTGCGTGGATTTTCAGCGACGGAGTGTGGGCACGAGTGGTGGCGATTCTAGAGGAGCTTCCTTCATACAGGTAGTTCGTTTTATCATTCTGAACGTACTGATATCGTTAATTTGGTGATTCAGGTTATACGGTGGATTTTGCACGATTTTGACCCTGGATGCTCGGCTTGAGATCATTGGTCAATCGCATTGGCACATTTGTTGAAACTTTAGGGCAAATAGCAATGGATCTAAAGCAACAAATTCGCATCTCTCAATTTTTACTGACCTTCAGATGTGGCTGCTCTAGTATATCAGCTTGTCCCATTTAAATTTCAATATTAGGGTGTCATCGTGTAGTGTGACAATAGGATTGCAGTTACCGTGTAGGGTAACCATTGCTTGTGCTAGAAATTAGGAGTTACCCGCTCTTCTATGATTTTTTGAAACTGTTTGGCTAATATATATGTTTTCTTACACCATTAGTTCCATTAGAATACCTAGACCTTACCTGTTTGAACATTCCCTTTATCTAAGATCACGAATCTTATGAAGCCCTGAGAATCTAGAACGGTACATATTGTCTGTGACCCTAGGACTACTTTGTGTGGCTTAATTGTGATTTCGTACATTTTTTTATTAATTCGTAAAAATGACGACTCAAAATTTTGATTTTGGTTTTTTTTTTAACGAAAAAGGTGATTTTTCAATCTAACAACAAAAAATGAGAGGTATTTTGGTTCAACAAAAATACGATGGCAATTTTTCTGCTGATTTTTCAAACGAACAAAAAGAAAAAGCCAATGAACTTGCTTACACTTCAATCATTTTACACTTGTCCGACAGTGTTTTGAGAAAAGTGGATAAACTTAAAACCATTAAAGAACTTAAGAAAAAATTAGAGGATTTGTATTTGCTCAAATTTACTCCAAACAAGCTTTACTTGAGTGTTTTTCAGTTTTAAAATGGATCCTTCAAAAGATCTTGATGACAATTTAGACGTGTTTAACAAACTCGTTTAAGAAATCGTTAACTGTGAAGAAATGGTGTCTGAACCTACAAAGTTATAATTTTGCTTAATTTCATACCTGGCATTTATAAGGAAGTTAAAAATGCGATTAAGTATGGTATGGATACCTTGACGCCTGAAATTCTCATTGACTCACTTAGAAGTAAAAAGATTGATATTAAATGTAAAAACATGATAAGAGGCTGTGAGATACACATGGTGAGGAGTAAAACTCAATTTAGGCAAAATAGTCGTGATGGATTCCAAAGTAGTTATGACTACTTATTATTTGATTAATTTGAATCCGTCTGCTCCATTGAATGGTGATACTCTTCATGAAAAATAGTCTGGTAAGCTTAGTGATTATTCTGTATTTAGAACTTTTGATTGTGCTGCATTTTTCATCAGAGTGAGGGAAATGTTGAACCTAAAGCTAGAAAATGTGTTTTTCTAGGTTACCCTGAATGTGTCAGGGGTATAGGTTATATAGGATAGAAGCCAAAAGGGGGTTGAGATCATTATGAGCAGAGATGTTACGTTTAATGAGGATGAAATGTCATGTCTACGACTAAATCTGAACAGTAAGTAAAGAAGAGTAAGGTGAAGAGAGAGATGAGTTGAAGGTGGAGTTAAGAAGAGTTAGCACATCTATCCTTGCCACCTCTAATGAGGTGAAGACTCATGTTCAACAACCTGAGGTGGAGATTGGAGAGGAAGTAGTGACAGAAGAGCATCCCGAGGAAGAAAATCCCTTAGCAGATTATAACTTAGCTAAGAATAGATAAAGAAGACAAACGAGAGCGCCTAAAATATTTGGATATGAATCAGAGTTAGCTTTTGATCATGCTAGCTATGAGGAGCTAGCTGATAGAGAGCCAAAAACCTTTGACGAGATGATGAAGAGTGAACAAACTGAAGAGTGGATTAAGGCAACGAAAGAAGAGATGAGTTCCTTAAAACATAATCAAACTTGGGAACTATTACCTATACCTAAGAATAAATCTACAGTTGATTGTAATTGGGTTTTTAAGGTTAAGGAGAGTATTAATACATCTGAACCTCTAAGATTTAAAGTACACACAGAAGGAGGGTGTTGATTATAATGAGATTTTTTCACCAGTTATTAAGTACACTATTACTAGGGTCATGCCTGCTTCGGTTGCACATTTTAATTGGGAACTTAAACAACTTAATGTAAAAACGATTTTTTTACATGGTGAACTTGATGAGCAAATCTTTATAAATCAATCAAGAGGTTTTAAAAGATTATGTGGGTTTCTTTAATGGTCTTTTAGCTTAAAACAGTCACCTAGATAGTGGTATAAAAGATTTGGCTCTTTTGTACTCACTATAAGGTTTTAAAGAAATAAGTTTGATCATTGCCTGTATTTTTAACATGATGATACTAATAATGACTGTGTTTTTATTACTATATATGGATGATATACTTTTAGTTGGTTCATCACCTAAGTGAATAAGTAAGATAAAAACAAAGGTGGATGGCTAATTTGACATGAAAGATTTAGGTGAACTAAGAGAATCCTAAGTATAGAAACTGAAAGAGAGAGATCAAATTCTACATTGTTTTTGCATCAGTCTTCTTATATTTCAAAGGTGTTGAAAAGATTTGTCATGTATGACTGCAAACATATTACATTAAAGCTAATCACTTTGTGTTATCTAAAGATCAAGCTCCATGAAATGAAAAGGAAATAGAATACATGAGTAGGATTCCATATTCTAATATGATTGGACTATTATGTATTTGATGGTTTGCACTAGACCGGACTTAGCTTTTGCCGTTAGTACTCTTAGTAGGTACATATCTAATCCGAGTCCTGAGCATTGGGAAGCCTTAAAGTGGATGTTAGGGTATTTGAAGGGGACTAGTGATGTAGGTCTAAAATTTGGTATTAGTAAAGGAGTGAAACTGAAAGGTTTTGTAGAAGCGGACTATGTCGGGATAGGGATAATAGAAAAATCAACTTCTTCCTATATGTTTACTTTGTCTAACTATTGCGCTAGTTGGAAATCACAGTTACAACACATAATTGTGCTATCCACGATAGAATTAGAATATATTGCTACTACTGAAATAATTAAAGAAGCTTTCTGATTTAGAGGTTTGCTTCATGAATTTTGTGTTTTAAATTATGCGGTAGTACATTCAGATGGTCACTCTTCTATACATCTATGCTAAAATTCTGTTTTTCACGAACGCATCAAGCACATTGATGTTAGACTATATTTCATTAGAGATATTGTATCATACGAGGTGGTAAGACTTGAGAAAGTTCATACACAATATAACCCATCAAACATGGGCACTAAGGTGTTGTCATTGGTGAAGTTTAGAAGTTGCAAGTATCTTCTAAACATCAGTGGAGGTAAATAATTCTCAATTTTATTGGTTCTCCTTTTGGAATTGTCACTAATGGGTGATAATGTTTTTTTTTTTGCACGTCCTTTGACACCAAGGTAAAGGTTTGTTGGGCAAATTGTTGTCAAACGATCTCCCAGATGATGATATTAAATCGGTATAATTTTGTTAGTCGGCATAGACCAATTGATTGAACTAGAATATCGACTCCTCAATGAAACGACCCGACTCTAAAATTATATGGGGCCATTGGAAGCAGTCTAATAAATTAGAATTGATCATGGCCTGTTTCCTCACTTATTGGATGGCTTGTTATTGTTGGCCCAATTATTGGTTTTGGGCTTAGCCCATTACTATACCTAATACCTACCTAAATATACTTGAGCCTCTTGCTTGGTTATGTATGTGTATTATTTGCCCCTCATCGTTCGAGATAAAAAAACACGGTTGCTTCCTGCCTTCTCTGTGATTCTGCCTCTGCCCTTTTTTTCTTCTTCTCATCTTCACTGCCTTTGTGGCTGATTGTTTGGCTGCAAATAATACCTTCATTGCGTGTCCTTCGTGGGTACATCAAGAGCTACCAAAGTTGGGAAGAATAGTAGGTTTGGGTTGTGATTTGTTGGGGTCGATTTCGATTGGATTTGTACTGAGTCCGGAAAATGCCATTGGTGATCAATCTTTCGCTTACAATTAATTTCATTTGTTCATCATTAACATTAAATAATAATGTCTCTCCTTCATCATGACTACACTACAAGACAGTTTCTCTTATTTTTTGTTGTTAAAAAGTCAAACTAAACAACCAGTTGCTTCACATGAAAGTTCAGAAAAAACACCACCCCAAGTTATACTGAAACCTCCAAATCCAATCCAGACCCGTGCCAAAGTCACGGATTCCATAAGAATACCCTTAAACCACCCCTTTTCCCCCACCCCACATTAAATAGTCAACCGACCAGATTATAATTATACTGAAAATAATCAGTTTTTGCTATTGATTTGAGGGTCTATGATTCTTTTCATTTCACTTAATTTCATAACCAAATGCTTAATCTACCAAAATTTAAATAAAAAAAACTGATTGACAAGGTTTTAATTGAATCGGACTTAAAAGCACCTTTCGATTGGGGTCAAACGGAACAGCTAAAAAGTTAATTTAGTCCAAGCAAAACAACCTGAATGCATTAGCAATTTTGAGGCATATCTTTCTTCATGATGCCATTCAGAACAATTTTCGAAAAAAGAGAAATCTTTGCATTAAGAAATGAAGCAAACCCACAGGAAAAATATGACAAAGTGAAAAGCAAAATTAATTCTTAAAAGTGAAAAAGTAAAACTTTTATACAGAGGAAAAAAATGAGAGAGAAAAGATAACAGGACAAGAGGGTGACTGACCGGCAACATCTTGACCATCATAAATGCCACGGTGTACAGACCCAAAAGTGCCACGTGCGATGACGCCCTTGATGATCAGGTTTGAGGGGTCAATCTCCCACTCATATCTTTGCCTCCTACTTGCAGCGCCGCCGCCGATTGTGGTGGCGGTAGTGGTGGCGGCGGAGGCGGAGGTGGTGATAGGGAAATCATCTTGATTTTTCTTGTTTTTCTCCATAGACCAAGCCCTATTGAGATGCCTCTCCAGTTGCTCATCTAAGCTCTTCAAATCAATCTGATCAGCCCTCACAAACCCATCACTGGTCTTCTCCATTTTTGCAGTATTCTTCGAATGAATTCAAGAGACTGTATTTAATTATTTCTGGGTCGTGGAGGGTCTTATGCAATTAACAGAAATGTGAATTGGGAATTCGTGAAGGTGCAAAAGGGGGGAGGGAGAGGGAGAGGGGGAGGGGGAGAATGTATGTATAATTGTACGTGATATGTATGTATATTTTAGTGTGTGTTGTGTGTGCGCGCAAGTAGGAACATTATGAGCTGCGCCATGTGGGCACATGGAATTGCCTGAAGACAACGTGTGTGACCCACAAAAGGTCTCCTCTTATTTTTATTTTATAATGAATAAAGCTATGTGTACACAATTTTTTATATAATGTTTTACACCTTCCTCACATGGAGGGGGGTCCACACATAATAAAATAATCGTGGGCCACCCTCCATGTGAGGGAAGTGTAAAACATTGTGTAAAAAAGTGTGTGTACANAATAAAATAATCGTGGGCCACCCTCCATGTGAGGGAAGTGTAAAACATTGTGTAAAAAAGTGTGTGTACACATAGCACCACTCTTTTATAATTCAATGCTTTTTGCTTATTTATTATTTTTCAATAATCAATTATACATAATTTTTTTTTTGTAATGTTGTCTCAAATAACAAGTTGTTACATAGGATGATTATTGACAGTCGTTAACTATGAATAACATTACTCAAAAAGAAAAGAGTTAAAATAATTTTATATTTAATTGGGTCTATCACATAGTACCACAAATACAATTAATATAGCACCATTAATTATATATATCATTATTCAAAAAGGAGATATGAAGTTGGGGTTGGGTAAATGGAATCACTCATGTACGAATTGTTTTAAGTTTAATATGGATGCAACAATTCAACCTAGTGATGGTTTATGTTACGCCTCAAAATCAAGGCTCAAGAAGAAGCCAATACCTCGAAATCGAGGCTAAAGAAGCCCAAACAAAAGACCCACACTCCGCATCATAAAAAATCGAACTAGAGTCATAAGTAAAAATGGCTAATCGATGCCTCATCCAAAGCGCTATGTGTAAGCAGAAGTTCCATGGTTGAAGTAAAGCGCCACCTGCTACAAAACAACAATAAAGGCAAGTGGTTGAAGCCCTAAGCCGAAACACTATCTAAGTGGCTAAAGCTCTGAAACTGAAGCACTATATAAAAAGTTAAAGAGAAAGCCGAAACTCTCTGTCTAGAAACTCTTGACATCAAAGACCTCCAATCCGAAACTCCCTTTGGTCGAAACTTTCACTCCAATCCGAAACTCCTTTTGTCTGAAGCCCTTGTTGTCTTTTAGAGAATCTACACGCAATCTTTAGGAATGATTGATATAACGTTTGTAATAATGAATGTTAGGATTGTCAGCCTAGGGTATATGTTGACTGACCCATTGTCAATATATCAAATGCATAGCAGACTGAGTAATTTGAGGTTTTGACCTGAGAGAAGAGGCTACGTGGTTCTTATTCAATGACTACCACTTCGATCAAAACTCTATAAATAAACAATTTTTATAACATTTGAATCGAATGCAACTTTTCACACTTCGAACCACACCGATCATTTCTCTTGCTTATTCCATATTTATTTACTTGAGTTTATATTATTTTCACTTAAGTTGTTTGTGATTGTTAGTTAAATATGCAATCACCTTTGATCATTATACCAGTACTCGAACATTTTTGTCTCACGTCGTAAAACATATTCCACATCCATAAACGACATCCTTCTACGTCTAGATCTACGATTAAAATTATTCGAGATTATTGGGGGGACGATGATCCCATCTAATACAAAGACAATGTCAAATTTCCCGTTCTATTGAAGATGTAGAGCTTGTTGCTCTTAAAGAAGGATTGTTACTCGCACAAGAATCAAAATATGTTGAGACCATGTTTAAAGACTCTCACCAGCTTGTTTAGAAACTAGTGATAGTTCTTTTTGACCTATGTTAGCTATTTTGTTTAGAGATGGCAACGGGGCGGAGCAACCTTCCCCGTCCCCGCCTCGTTACCCATTTAAGGTGGGGCAAGGCCCTTGCCCCATTTACTAACCCTTTTAAATTTATTTTTTTTAAGTTTTTGATAATTTATTTCATTGCTACTATTCATTAGATTGAGACAAATATTTTTGGTTGTCATTTTCTATTAGAACTAATAAAATTTCATGAAATTTTTCCATTTAAAGTATTGAAATCTGAAAAAAAAAAAAAAATTAACGAGGTGGGGCGGGGCACCCGTTACCCGGCCCCGCCCCCACCCCCGATTAAGCGGGTTATCTCCGCTCTGTTCGGGGAGGGGCCCCGCAAGTATCGGGTTTGTCGAATTTTTTTGTCATCCCTATTAATTTCAAATATGAATTCCGTCTCCCTTCTTTGTTCATAAAGTCTAAGGGTCTGCTCGGTAGTTTTTTTATTGG